AGTTTTTTAAGATTATATTAATAATTTACCTAAACTGAAGATTTAACACAATGGAAATGCATTCTCTCGTAGTCCTAGTGGCAAGAGTTTGACATCCAGTTGCTGTCAGCTGTTTTTTCCAGAGGCTCTAAGGGAAAATCTTTCCTTGCCCCTCTCCTCACTCTGGGAGTAGCCAGCAGTGCCTGGCTTATCCTCACATCGTCCTCATCTGTGCCTCTTTCTCCACACGGCCCCTACCCTTTAGCCTCTTATCCTCTCCCTCCCATCTCTTGCACAGACACACAATATTGGTTTTGGGGCCCACCCTAGGTTCAGGATGACTTCATAGTGAGAGCCTTCATTACATGTGGATAAGCCTTTTTTTTCCAAATAAGCTCACATTTACAAGTTCTAGGGACTCTCTTTCTGATTGTGAAATAGCTATATACACACACACACACACATATATACAGACACACGCATATCACATTTATACACACACATAGAAAGAGAGAGAATTTCCTCACAGATTTGGAAGTTACAAGAATACAATGAAAATCAAAGTTGTGCATAGCCCTGAGTCTGAGAACACGGCTGTTAACATGTCTGTTCAGCCCTCAAGAGAAAATCTGGCAGTGCGTGGTGTTTTGTATTCATGCATTTTTTGGTAAAATCATATCTTCTACATTCACCCGTGTCGTTTGCTTTTAAGAATGGATGTATGACATTGCCTCTCCTAACCTTTCATCCTGTGACCACCCACGATACTGCAGTTTGCTTTTAGCTCATTAATTATTATTGAACAGCTAGCTGGCTTCCAAGTTTTGCTACTAAATTTAATGTGTAGTTAGCATTCTAGTCGTAATTTTTCCCCTAAAAGATTCATTTTTAGAGCAGTTTTAGGTTCCCAACAGAGCTGAGAGAAATGATAGTTTCTGTGCTCTCTGCCCAAACACGTGCAGACAGCTCGCCCCAGTGTCGTCTGTGTGAGCAGTGACCCAGCTCCTGGGTGCACCACCATCGCCCGAGCCCGTCACCCACACTGCGGCTTCCCCTTGGTTATCTGCTCAGACCAGTGTGGGGAACGCGGGCCCCGCACTGTAGTATCAGACGGAGGGTTCACGAAAACCCTCTGCTCCACCTAGTCATCCCTCCCTCACTTCAGGAATTTTCTTTGCATCTCATATTTCATCATTAAGAGACAGCTCCAGAGATAGAATGCAAAACAGACGCCTGAGCAGTTTTGCAGCTCTTGATGTGTGTTTGCAAGTTGCCTTTGGAAGAGACTGTATCACATTATACTCACATTCATTTCTTAGGACTATGGCTTTAGAATTAGTGGACATTTCATTAAAGATTGTATTTCTTTACAAGTAAGGTTGAATGTTTTACATATTTAGTGTCAAGATTCTTTTTTCATTAAATCTTTTTGCAATAGGTTATGTTATATCCAGAGATTAAAAAAACTTCTGATTAACTTTTAATTATACCCTTAACCATAACATCCAGTTCATTTAACTTTGATTTCTCCTAATCGTCTTAATCCTATTCTTAGCAAAAAAGGTAACACATGTTCATTGTTGGAAAAAAGGAAAATGAACAAAAAACAAGAAATAAAAATTGCCTTTTACCTACCATCCAAAAATAACCATTATCTCTTAGTGAAAACTGTAGTTTATTTCTGTATGACACACTCTGTATAATGCATTTTGAAAGAACATATATCTATGCCATTTGATATTTTATAACACTAATTCAGCAATTGTATAGTAGCCCTTCACAGTAAAATTCATCTAGCAGCATAGTCATACACTGCTTTCCGGCTTCTGCTCTTGAAAGCCCTGCTACGCCAGCCTCCTCAAGGATGCTGGGTGTTGCCCATGGAGTTTCTACGCAAGAGTCATGCGTAACTTTAAAGTATTGGATCGGGTTGCCATATTTCCCCACCCATTTCTCTGAATTCTTTATTATACCTGTTACTGCTTGTAATCTTGTAGTCAAGAAATCACATCCCATTGCTATATTTTGCATTTCTTCAGCTTTTGGTTGAATATCATCTTGTTTATTGATCATGCACATTTGGTAGAAGCCATGGGTAGACTTATTATTTTTCTACTGGACTATTTGTCCTTTTTTAGTTATTGTTTTTAAAACATTCATGTTTTAACTTTTGAGCTGTAATGTTGGTTGGAATGTGGCCCCAGTAATTCCCCTTTCAGTTTTATTTATAATGCCTTAATGGACCTTTAAAAATGATCTCTCCTAGCTGCCATGTCAGTCAAAGAAGTCCTCCAGAGCCTGGTTGATGATGGCATGGTGGACTGTGAGAGGATCGGGACCTCCAACTACTACTGGGCTTTCCCCAGTAAAGCTCTTCACGCGCGGAATAGGAAGTTGGAAGTTCTGGAATCGCAAGTAAGCCACCACAGTTAGGGTTCATAAATTTGCTTTTCTTAATCCTGGCTTCATTTAGTGGTTTCTGTTAAAATTTTGCATGCATTATTTTACGCTAAGTCTAAAGCAAATCAGTACCTCTATCTTGCTCTGAACAATGCAAGGACCTTAGAGTATTTTCACTTTCATCTTCCTACCTGCCGTGATACCATTTTTTAGTTCCTTTTTTAATATTATTGATACATGTTTGTTTCTTCTGGGTACTTTTAGGCTTACAGAAATATTGATGGGAGGGTACAGAGAGTTTCCAAATATTACCCCCTTTTGTCCACCAAACACAATTTCCCCCACGATTTCTATATCGTAGTAGTGTGGGTTGATTGTTACAGTTGATGAGCCAGTATAGCTGTCTTATTATTAACTAAGGTGCATAGTTACCTTAGGGTTCACCTTTGTGTTGTACATTCTGTGCATTTTGACAAGTCCAGCCATGTCCTGAGTCCACCCATACAGTAGCATAAGAATAGCTTAATTGCAAGAGAAGTCCCCATGCGCCTCTCCTCCCCTCCCGCCTCCCCTAGCTCTAGCTACTACTGACCTTTTTATTGTCTCCATAGTTTTTTCTTTTCCAGAATACTGGTTGGAATCAGACTTTTGGGTCAGCTTCTTTTACTTAGCATGTGCATTTAAGTTTCCTCCATATCATTTTGTGATTTAATAGCATGTTTATTTTTATTGTTGAATCATATTCCATTCTATAGTTTCATCACACTTTAATTTATTTAGCTATGAAGAAAATCTTTTTTTGCTTCCAAGAATATACATCAATTTTTTTTTTTTTTATCAACTGTTTTATCCTTCATGGGATTTAACAAATAAGCAAGAAATGGAACTTCAGAGAAAGGGCTATAGACTTGTTTTGGGGTATGGGGAAGAAATTTCTCTGGAAGATAACTGGAAAAGGTCATCAAAACTAATAAAATAAGTGAATTTCTTTCTGTTTTGAGGTTCTGTGAGATTGCATCTCTTCACAAGAAAACCTTCCTCAAACACACTTTTTGAAAGGGATTAAAAAGGATCACACTTGTACGGAGCCTTCTTTCCTCCAGTATTCTTAAATTACAAGCTGCACATTACCAAAAAGGGACTACTGGAAGGTACAGGGTAAATTTGCAGAATCCCTGAGAAGGCTAGAAATCCTGGTTCTCAAAGTAGGTAACAACTGGGGGGCAATGGGATGTAGCCAGCCCATCACCCGAATCACACTTGTCATGTGACCCGCCCCAGACTGGCGAGGACACTGCTGCCCAGGACCTTGGACACAGCTCCTTGCCGGCATTGCTGACCTGAAATGGTTCCACTGACATTCCTGGCCCTCGCTTTACAACCAGATGTTGCAGCCACCAAAAGAATAACACGCAGACAAAAACCTTCTGTCTCAGCTACCAGCCACAATTCCGGGAGTGTATTTGATTGGCCGAGGCGGAGTCATGAGCCTGCATCCTAGTTGCCAGGGAAGCTGGGAAGTAAATAATTGAGGGTTCTCATTTCTGTGGCAGGAGGTAGCTGTTGATACCAGCAGCTCCCCAAAATTGGAAGGGGGTTTCTCTGCTGAGTAGCACTTCCTTCCTTCCTATGGTTGACTGATAGTCACAAAATAATAAATCAAGCATCCCTCTCAAACTCCCATAGCTTTACATATTCCTGTCCTTCTTTAACCTTCTGTCACAATTTTGGATTTACCGTCACAGAAATGTAATGCTGTGGCACATACTGCCTATTGTCCCCTTCTTTACTAACCAGATATTTACTTTGTTGAGGGAACATTGTGTCTTACTGAAAAATGCTCCTCTTCCCAGACTGTTTTGCAACTAAGAAGGATGCAGGGGAACAGTTCTGATGAATGAAATGTAAGCAAAACACGGACTTCAAGGTTTTGGGGAAAGTTTTCACTTTTCCCTTTTTTTTTTTAAGTTTTATTTTTATGTATACAAGAACTGAGGTACAGGAGAAGAGATTGTGTATGGGAGTGAGTACCAAGGAGTAGGATCATGGGGGCCTTTGCAGACAATATATACATACCTTTCACTTCATATAAGTTCTGTCTTTTCAATTATCTTTTTAAATAAACTTTTGTCAGGAATAATTAGCATACAAAAGAACTATTCATTTTAAGCTTTATAATTTTACACATTTCAACAAGTATACATTCATCAAACCATCGTAACAATCAAGATTTGAGCATACCTGTCAACCCTAAAAGTGCCTCATTTCTCCCTCAGGTCCATCCCTGCTCCCTCACCCCATCCTTAGGCAGCTGCTGATTTCTGTCACTACATATTAGTTCATATTGCCTAGAATGTCATATAAATGGAATCATACAGTATGTATTCTTTTTCCTGGCATAATTATTTTAAGATTCAGCCCTATTCTGTCTGTATTAATCAATTTGTTTTTGTTTTTATTGATGAGTAGTATTCCATTGCATGGATATAGAACAGTTTGTTTGTTGATGGACATTTGGATTTTTTGTTTATTTTAGTTTGGGACTAAACTATTAGAAATAAAGCTGCTGTGAATATTTGTGTGCGAGTCTTTGGATGGACATATGTTTTCATTTATATGGGGTAAGTACCTAGGAATGGAATGACTGGTAATCATTGGTAATGACTAGATCAATGGTAAGGATATGTTTAGCTTTTTAAGAGCTTGGCAAACTGTTTTTGAAAGTGCCTGTGCCTTTTTACATTCCCACCAATGGCATGTGAAGGTTCCAGTCCCTCCATGGCTTCCTGAGTATTGGACGCGACAGTGTTCTAATAGCTACAGTGACAGCTTGTTGTGTTTTTAATTTCCATGTCTCCAATGACTAATAACGTTGAACATCTTTGAGTATGGTTATCTGCCACTCATATATCTTCACTGATGAGGTGTTTGTGTAATCTTTTGCCTTTGATTGCATTATTGCATTTTAGCCGGTTCTGGTTATAATACCCTTTATCAGATAAAGTTCCAAGTATTTTCTCCCAGAAGTATATGAAGAGTAAGGTTTTTAAATGTCATTTATAAAAGGTTGACAACTCTTGGCACTTGATAATTATCTTCTAGGAATCCAAATGAAAGAAAAGCCAAATTAGTACTCCTTTATTGACCTACCCCAACTAGGAATTTTGCTGAAATTTGAATCTCAGTCTCATCTAGATACTCTTCCCCATGGTTCTGAAGATCATCCAACAGTATGAACTAGCATGAGCTGATGGGAAGAAAAGTAGCTAGAACGCATACATGGATTGAGGTCATAGCTTTACATTTTTCTTGGGGGAAATTTTTTTTTTAATTCCTTAAAACTTCAATTTCTTAATTTGTAAGAGAGATTGTACTTACTTCACAGGGTGTGGTGCAGATTGAGTGGTGTGAAGTGCCTGGTGCACGCAGGTACTGAACAGGTGGTAGCTACGGACTCAGCCATTTTAGTATTCACCCAGCATTTATAGTGTAATCTCATTTGTTCGATCAGAACAAATATTTGAGAGTCTATCATGTGCCAAACATTTTATCAGACACTGGAGGTGGCTTGAAAGTGGAGAAGTCAGCATTCATACTTCATAGGATAGAACTGGAAGCCTACATCAGTGTTAGGTAATACATGCGCGATGATGAACTGAAAAAGGGAAAGTGTTAGTAGCTAATTGCCTGAATGAATGGTGGAGAATAAAGAGATTGCAAGAGACAGTGAGATTTATATAAAGATAGAACATACTCAGCTAATGTTGAATTTGAACCAGATTCTAAATTCAAGGTCACAGTTTATTCAGCATACTACCAAAGTAAATGTCAGCTTCCTTTGAGGTTCATGTTAATTACTTCCAGAGTAGAGAGAGGGAGAACACTTAATTTTCTTATTTTTTCATCATTCTGTTCTGCTTTGGCTCTGCCAGTGATTCTAATTATGTGCAGGAATGTACTTGTCTGTTGAGAATGGACATTCTTACAGTAGATCAGAAAATTGAATCAGGAAACATTTTTTCCCCTCCTTGCCTTTAGGTTCTGTATGTTAATCATTATTAAAGACCGTCCAAATATCTCATGGTTATAACTTATGTTTCTCTAACGTTTTCTCAGATAGCACACAAGCCATCCTAGTCTGTGGGCTGCATTCGCTGCGGCTCCAGGAATCTGCTGTGTGACTACTCGGTGCATGCACTGTGCTGAATTCTTTGGGCAATATAAAATGATAGAATGTGTGTTTCGTGTAGTGATAATATACACTTGCCTTGGTAAGGCAAGATAAATGCCTTTACACAGTTAATTGATCTTTTTAGAAGGTACAGTTAACTTTTTATGAAAAGTTAGCTACGTAAGATTTAATTTATGGAAGATCAGTACCAAGGACTATCTTTGTTGGGGATGCTAATTGTTATAAGTTTAGAGGATGGCAGGGATTTTATTTACATATATATGCGGTTAAGAAAGACTTCTCAGAAACATTATTTTGAACTGGAAGTTCAGTAGATCCAGTTGAATTTAGAGGAGCCCCCACTCCCACCCCCCACCCCCGGGGATAGAGGGAGCCACAAGTGCTGATGCTGGTCATGCCAGCGGGAGCTTCCTGAGTGTTTTAATAAGTGCAATTGTCAGTACGGGGTTGTTGTAGGGAAATAGCACAGGCTGGGTGCTTATTAGCAACCGAAATTTGTTTCTCACAGTTCTGGAGACCGGAAGTCCATTTCTGGAGACTGATTGGGCTGTGCCTTTCCTGGTCCTGTTTTGTGCTGGTTCTCCATATGTTGGAAGGGGCTGGCATCTCTGGAACCTCTGTTCTTCAGGACTTTGCCCTCATGACCTAAGCACCTCCCAGGTGGCCCAATACTAAATACATTACCTTTGGGGGTTAGGATTTCAACATGAGCATTGGAAAGACAAAAGCATTCGGACTACCTCAGCATTTATTGCATGGATTCTTAACAACGTCATGGGGTGGATACTGTTACTAACTCCACTTCAGGTATAAGAACATAGAG